CCTGTTTGAGTATTAGGACAAGTGACTGAGGACAGTGGACCAGAGTCACACGCACCTAGACCTCACCAGCAGAGGTCAGGAGAGGACAAGAAGTACAGGAAGGAGAGTCCTGTTTTGACAGAATAACGACACTAAAAAGTCTATTGGTCATGTATTTTGAGTAAGATTTCACACCACATAAAATTAAGATACAGTTTTTAAAGATATGAATAGGCTCCAATATTCTATAAGCTATGCAAAATACCGCATTACATAAAGGAATAGCTGAATTCATGAAAATTCATAGCCTTACATATCCTTTCCTCCTTATTAAAAACATCAATTAAGCTCAAAGAAACAATATAATCCATTATTAATATTGTTCTCTGCTGGGTAAATATAATGAATGTGATTGTTTGTTTAAATGCCTGTTTGGGGGAATCCAAAGCACTCTGCAATATCAACACTGATCCTCTTGGGGGGACTGCCGACTACTACCCCTATTTTAAACAGAGAATGGCCTTATGCAAAATAATGGCAAAGCTGGAACTAAAACCACGATTACTTGACCACGCATTAGTGTACAAGTCTTCCCAAAAGACAGTAAGTACATGCTTCAAGTGTATGCTTTGTAAAGATTAATAAATACGTGTAGGATTCAGCAAGGTACTATTTCCATTGATGTTATTCAATGAAGTAATACATGCAGAATTTTTTATTAGCTTCCTGGAAACTGCAGGCTTGGCCATTAGGACTAGGAAGTCACTGAAGAATAATGAACTAAACTTAAACCAGAAAAATTGGGGGAAATTCTGATAAACTAAAAAGTTTACAGTCTCAGACTGCTTTGTGTGTGTCTAGAGTTCTCATTCCACTTTAAAGAGACCAAGAGTATAAAAGGCAGGTCATGTAATAGGAGAGCAGCTTTAGACAAAACTTATACAAAAGGCATAAATGGAATCTCAATGAGCAGCCTCAGAATCCTGTCTCTTTCCCAGTAAAAGATTGGCAAATGAATATAAAATTATGTCTTAATGTTAAATTATTAAGGTATGCAAAGATTTTTTTAGTGACTTCCTATTAAACTCTTTAAAGTAAACAACCAATTAATTATAAGCATAACTGGGTAGGTCTTTTATTCTACAGGCAAGTTTCTTAAAAAACAAAAATGTAAAGACAACCTCCTTCAAGCATGCATCCTGCATTAGTTTTTGTCTTCTACTTCTTCTTTCCCTCATTGTCACCCTTCTTGAATCATCTATATCACCAGTTCCCAGACTTCTGAACTTTCTGCACCAGAAAACTATACAAAAGAAAAACAAGCAGGGGCAATGAAGGCAGAAGTCTATACTGGGTTGCCAGATTATATTTTGCCAAATATGGGTATCTATTGTTAAAAGATACCTTCCGATTCTTCTCTCCCTAATTTCTCAAATAAAGGCCACTGTAACATTCAAAAGTATTTAAGTCCATATTTAGTGTTATAAAGCAGCTGTTACATTCATTGGATTATGCATTAAGCCACCACTTACTAAGCATATACTACATGCAAGGCTCTGTGTTCTGGGGGTACAGCTGTGAACAGAGTAGATAACCGACCCATAGAGATGGCAACCTAGTGAGCAAACAGACAAAAAAAGAAGCGAGTAACATATTTAGAATGTGAAATAGCGTTAGGTGCTAAAGAGAAAAACAGAGGAAGGTGAGAGATAATTAGCATGTGTGGAGGGAGGGAGTTCCCAATTTTAGATATGATGGTCAGGGAGGAGGGTCTTATTCTGAAGGTGATACGTGAGTAAATAGCAAAGGAAATGGAAGGTGTCTCGTAGCTACTGTGGGACAAGGCCGGGAAGTGCCCCAGAGAGGAGGCAGCCAAAGAAGGAATATGGCGGGCATGTTCTGGAACCACTACGGAGGCCAATGAGTAAGGAAGAGAAGGCAATGAAGATGAAATGAAAGCCTTAACAAAAAGCACATCATACAGGGCTTTGAAGGTCACTCTAAGGACTTCCTGTTTTATTGTGGATATGACTGAGAGGCAACACAATGTTCTAATCAGAGTGTCATGATCTTACTTACTTTAACAGGCTCATTCTATCTCTTTTGGTGAACAGGAAGATCATGGGGGAGAAAGGGGGAAAATAGCAGAAGCAGGAAGATAGAAAGTTCCAGAAGAGAGGTTACAGTGAACAGGGTGGCAGAAGTGGTGATGGTAAGTCATCAAATTCTGAATACATTTTGAAGGCAGAGCTCACAGGATTGCTGACCAATGAAATGCAGACTATGAAAGAACGAAAGTCAAAGATAACTTAGAAGTTTTAGACTGAACAACCAGAAGAGTAGAGCTCCCATTTACTGACACAGGGAAGTCTGTTAACAGAATGGATTTAAAGAGAATAACAGGGGCACCTGGGTGGCTCAGTCGTTAAGCGCCTGCCTTTGGCTCAGGTCATGATCCCAGGGCCCTAGGATCAAGCCCCGCATCGGGCTCCCTGCTCCGCGGGAAGCCTGCTTCTCCCTCTCCCACTCCCGCTGCTTATGTTCCCTCTCTCGCTGTGTCTCTCTGTCAGATAAATAAATAAAATCTTTTAAAAAAGAGAGAAAACAACAGAAACTCCTGTTTGGGCATTTGTTAGACATCTAAGTGCACAGATTAAGTCAGACATCTAAGTGTAGACATTTAAATGTATATGCAAGGATATACAAGTATGGGATTCAGGGAGCCAAGTCATCAACATACGGTTGGCATTTAAAACCAAAAGACGAGATGAGATTAACAAGGAAAAAATACAGACAGGAAAGCGAAGTTCCAAAGGCTTGGGCCCTGGGGTACCTCAAAGTACAGAGATCCAGGAGATGAGAAGGAACAAGCAGAGGAAACTGAGAACAAGCAACCTGTAAGGAAAGAACATGCGGAGAACCTGAGGGTCTGAAGGCTGGGAAGAAAGAATGTGTAAGAATGAGACCGTAGCCAACCACATCAAAAACTGCTGGTAGGTCAAGAGGAAAACTGAAAACTGCCTACTGGATGACACAGTACAAAGGCAATTAGAGACCCTAATACAGGCCAGAAGGGGGTGGGGATAAGGGTGGGAAGTTAAAAATCTGACACGCAAGAAGGAAATGCAGGAAAGAAATGGAAAAGAGAGTATAGACACCTCTTTCGAGGAGTTTTGCTGTAAGAGCAAAAGAGAATCAGGGTAGTTCTACAGAGGAAATGGGGCAAAAGAAGATTGGTATTATTGTTGTTGCTTTACAGGAGAAGTAATAAATTTTACTCTGATGGGAACAATCAAGCAGAAAGAGAAAGAATTCGGGAGAGGGAGGGAAGGATAGCTCGAGTGATGTCCCTGAACAAGTCTAATCACTCACAGTGATGAGGGCCTATAAGCACAGATGAAGACAGGTGGGTAGCTGTGGTTGTGGAAGTTTGTGGAAGTTCTCTGCCTGCTTCTATTTTCTTATAAGAAATAAAAAGAACATGAGCTGAGAGGACAGAGGAGGTACTGGAAGTCTGAGGAGGAAAGAGAATGTTCCAATAGTTGAAATGGAGCAAAAATTGACTAGTAACAGCATGCTTTCCTGCCTGAAAGTTGGCTTGGACTTTAGTCCAGAGGCAGCAAGAGAGGCGAGGGAGGTGAAGGTGTATGGGAGTGACTGTACTGACCTACAGTAGAATTTCAGCTGTAGAGAGAGGGGAATGAAGACATGAGTTTGGTGAAGGATAATATAACAGTGGTTTTATCAGTGAGGTCCAAGGATCAGTGAAGTCAGGACACTAGACAAGAGGGAAAATGGTCAGAGAGTGGGAACAGATTCTCAGATTCCCATTTCAAACTGGACTGACAGAAGCCACCAATAATCTCCCACCTTTTGTCTCACTTGATCTTCCTCTAGTCACTGGACGGACAGTGAGTGTCTCAAAGGCAGAAACTACCTCTTTATTTGACCCTAGTATTCTAGGCAGTACCTAGTCCAGTGCTTGATACACAGTTGCTACTCAATAATGTATCTACTGTAAGAAAGAAATTCATTTGCCAAAACATCAAGGTTATGATACTGGGAGAAAATGAGGCAGTCACAAGAGAACTCAACTGTAGAAAGTACCTATAAGAATCTTCAAATGGCAATTCTGTCTGCATCTTAAAGGTATGCTTCATTTTCTTATTTTCAGAAATTGTTTATTTTAGGAAGATTTTCTAAAGTATTTCTCAAGATTCTCATTCCAATTCTTTACCTCCATTATCTGAAACTCAGCCTCCTTCCCCCATCAAAAATAAACCGAAGATAATCCCAATCAGTAGCCTGCTTTTCATTCTGCAATTCATTTCCTGGTACAGAAAAAAACAGAGAAGGGGAGGGAGATTCTGACCAACCTTAAAACATTCAATCCCTAGTTCTCATGCACACACAGCTATGGGACCAGCTGCCTAGCCAAGTATAATGAAAAAAGGGGAAACACTAACTTTAAAAAAAAAGTGACAAGTTTACTTACATAAGATTTAAGTCCTTAAAAGCTAATAGACTTATCTGATTAAAGCAAACTTCTGTTGTTGCTGTTCATAGGAAATTTGGTTACAACCTCATGGAATAGTTCTATTACAAAAAGTTCCTGGTCTAGAATCCTGCTTTATGAGCTACAGAGTACATGAGAATCACTTGTGAAGCTTTCCACAAATGACCTACGTGAGCTCCTGCCCAGAGAGTCTGACCTAACAGACTCAGGAGGGTCCCAAGCGCTTGTGTTCTTCAAAGGCTGTACATGTGAAGCACTCCTAGACTGAGAACTGTCTAGAATACAAGTCTCTGATAACTGCTACCTTTCTCCTTTTCAAGTATCTATCAGAAGTTCCAAAAATCTCCTAAAATTGTTTCACCGTTAATTACTTTCTTAGAGTGAAATTTGAATGCCTGCACCATTTACATAGAACATGGCACTCAAAATCACAAAGGTGGAGATTTTATTCCTCTGATAAACATAATTCACTGATAATGATAAATACATGCAGAGCTGGACTCACCCGTTCCATAGCTGCATTATGATACGGGAGCTCCTCCTCACTGCAAATGAAAAATAGTATATATGAAATAGCTGAAATCATAGTGAACTTTTAAAAAATCATATACCTGTGGGTACATATGATATATAACCATGTATCGTCATCACAAGAATGGATCATATTACATAAGCTTCCATTCTGCCAAATTCAATATAAAACAATTAGCGGTTCTGAACCCACAAGGTCCCCATCTTCAAATCTCTAGACATATGCCGTCTAAGACAGTCATCTCCAGCCACATGTGGCTATTTAATCTAAAATGTTAAGTTCAAATTAACAATTCAGGTTTTCAGTCTCACCCTAGCCATAGTTCAAGTGCACGACAGTGGTCACACAGACAGAGGCTATCGTTTTGAACAGCGTGTATATAGAAAGAATATTCCCACCACTGCAGGAATGTCCTACTGGACAACACTCCTGTAGACCAGGAGTCAGCAACCTTCTTCTGTGAAGGTAAATATTTAAACAGTGAATACATAAGGCTTTGCAGACCATACAGTCTTTGTCATTAACTATTCAACTGTAATGCTGTATTGCACACGTAGACACAGGTAATAGTAGACTGAGTGTGGTTTTATTCCCACAAAATGTTTGCAAAAACAGGTGGTGAGCTGAATGTGACCTGCAGGCTATAGTTCACCAACCTCTACTCTACAACATCACCTCCACTCTCTGGCTCAAACTATGGCCTATAACAACTGATTGCTTTTTAAAAAAATGGTATATGGATCCGGGTGCCTGGGTGGCTCAGTCGGTTAAGTGTCTGCCTTCAGCCTGGGTCATGATCCCCGGATCCTTGGATCAAGCCCCACATCAGGCTCTTGCTCAGGGAGGAGCCTGCTGCTCTCTCTCCTCCCCACTCCTGCTCTCTCTTGCTATCTGTCTCTCAAATAAATAAGTAAAACCTTACATAAATATATATATATATTTTTAAAACGCTATAAGGAAATAAAATAGCCTCCAAAAGATTTATGAATGAGGAAGGAAAATCTGGGGTGCCTGGGTGGCTCCGTCGGTTAAGTGTCTGCCTTTGGCTCAGGTCATGATCCCGGGATCCTGGGATCGAGCCCCGCATCGGGCTCCATGCTCAGCGGGAAACCTTCTCCCTCTCCTACTCCCCCTACTTGTGTTCCCTCTCTCGCTGTCTCTCTGTCAAATAAATAAAATCTTAAAAAAAAAAAAGAAAGAAAGAAAGAAAAGAAAAAGGGAAAGGAAAATCTAATTCTATAAATTAGGAAAGTTTCATTTGTCAAAACTTCAACGGGGATGAGATTTTTAAATATACAACAAAAGACCAAATTCATTTCTCTGATACAGTAATACTGTGATATCAGCTCTAACCTAAAGCATGCTGAGACTCTTGTATTAACTGCCAGTAATATAAAAACAATGAGCTATCTGTAACAAAGTTCTGTGCTTTGAACTGCTACCTCAGTAATACTGATGTTTTCGCAATGACACAGATTCTTGTCTTTCTTTCTCTTGAACCACATAATACCATTTTTTTTTAGAATACAATGAATCGCTTTTAAACATAATACCATTTTTAAGAGTATAGTACATTAGTATTCAAGAGTCCAGTATGTTCAAAGGCACTCTTTTGCTACTCTGAAGAGTCCTTAGGTGAACCACAAACCAACCTATAGCAATGGAACTGACAGAAAGTGTAACAGCCAAAAGAGATCTTAGAGAGATAGGCCAAACCCTTCACTTCAGAGATAAGAAAGCTAACATTTCACTTAGTCACAGTCATTTAGCCTATCACAGAGACGCTCAATTCTATCTCTCTAGCCCTGTGGGTTCAAACCAAGATGAACAAGATCTTCAGATTCTGCAGCAGTATATGAAGAAAGGCCTAAGAAACCAATTCTCAAGAAGAAAAAAAAAAAAATTGAGGATTTAATATAAAAGTCTTTTTTTTTTTTAATGTAAAGTGTCCACTCACCTTTACTGAAGGTGACACCTTGGTTTTTTTATATCTTTCATTATGCTCAGAGTCTACATTTCCCTGCTAATCTGTAATCCTGATTACTAAAGCCAATGATGTATGAATGGCACAGGATGTAACTTCTAATTTAAAAGTACATCTATCCATTCTTCACTTACTGGCAGAAAAAGGGCTTATCAGCACCGCTGGAATTTATTTCTTAGATGAATAGGGTCAGCAGTGACATCTTGAAAGACTAGGAACATCTGAACCCTTTGTGCACACTAAGACCGGTATTTCTGGGGTGAGTAGGCTGCCCTGGGCAAGAGTAACTTTTTGTACTTTTTGTACAGCTGATTTGAGCAGACCCTGATAACTGTTTATTTGAACTTTCCAACTCCAAATGAAGTGCCAACTCTGGGTGCTTACCAAAGGATTAGTTCTTTGAAGGTACTGGGTACATTTCTTTGGTGTCCTCCTATTTACTAAACAAGACTAACAAACCTCACTGTGCCTATTCCCAACACTGAATCAGAACCAAATTTTGCACTTGTCTGTGGAATGATGCTGATCATCTATCTGCTCAGGCCGTGTGGCCTGTGTGCTCAAGTCCTACAGAACGCACTTGTGAGCTTCAAGATGAGACAGGACTGCTCTCAGCATCCTGCCCCACCCTGACACCGAACCATACTACTGAAAACCCTGGGAGAGCGAGATGCAGGAGCATACATACAACCAAAGTCGGCCTTAGGCGATATCCAGAAGTAGACAGACTTGGTGTTGGATTTCCCTCCACCTCAATATTTTACATTATTTCCTTTTGCCCTGTCACAACCCCCACCCCAGGATGTGCTTGTCTGTGCAGGAACACCATCATATCCCCAAACAGTTACTGAACTCCCACTAACCAAGTGTTTTTTCATATGCATTTTTTAAATTTATTTTTTAAATTTTTTGAGATATAACTGACATATAACATTGTATTAGTTTTAGGTGTACAACATAATGATTTGAGAGATATATATATGTAATATATATATATCACAAAATGATTACTATTTTAAGTTTAGTTAGCATCCATCACCCCACACAGCTACACATTTTTTGGCTTTTCCCTTGTGAGGAAAACTTTTAAGATCTACTCCCTTAGCAACTGTCAAATATACAGTACAGTATTATTAACTATAGCCACCATGCTGTACACTCCATTCCCAGGACTTATTTACCTTATCACTAGAAATTTGTACCTTTTGACCACTTTCACCCATTTTGCCTACCTCCCAGCACCGCCACCACTCCCCATTCCATCTCTGGCAACCAGCAACCTGTTCTCTGTATCTATGAGTTCATTTTTGTGTGTGTGGTTGTTTAATTTTTTTTTTTAAGTTATTTATTTATTTATTTAACAGAGAGAGAAAGAGAGAGAGAGAGAGACAGTGAGAGAGGGAACACAAGCAGGGGGAGTGGGATAGGGAGAAGCAGCCTTCCCGCTGAGCAGGGAGCCCAATGTGGGGCTTGATCCAGGACCTTGGTGTCATGACCTGAGCCAAAGGCAGACGCTTAACGACTGAGCCACCCAGGTGCCCCTTTTGTTTGGTTGTTTTAGATTCCACATATAATTGATAACATACAGTATTTGTCTTTATCTGATTTATTTCACCTAGGATAATGTCCGCAAGGTCCATCCATGTTGTCATAAATGGTAAAATTTCATTCTGTTTTGTGGCTGAATAATATGCCTCTATGGCTGTGTGTGTGTGTATGTGTGTGTGTGAGAACACATTTTCTTTATCTGTTCATCCATCAATGGACAACTTAGAGGTTATTTCCATGTTTTGGCTATTGTAAATAATGTTGCAATGAACACGGGGCAGGGGGTGTATAAAAATCTTTTTGAGATAGTGATTTCCCTTTGGATAAATACCCAGAAGTAGAACTGCTGGATCATAAGTAGTTCTAATTTTTTTTGGTAAAGATTTTATTTATTTATTTGACAGAGAGAGAGAGAACAAGCAAGGGAAGCGGCAGGCAGAGGTCAGAAGCAGGCTCCCTGCTGAGCAAGGAGCCCAATGTGGGGCTCGATCCCAGGACCCTGGAATCATGACCTAAGTGAAGGCAGATGCTTAACCAACTGAGCCACCCAGTCGTCCCTAAGTAGTTCTATTTTTAATTTTTTAAGGAACCTCCATACTGTCTTCCATAGTAGGTGCACCATTTTACATTCCTACAGGCAGTGCACGGGGGTTCCCTTTTCTCCACATCCTTGCCAAAAGTTGTTATTTCTTGTCTTTTTAATAACAGCTATTCTAACAGATATGAGGTGATAGCTCATTGTGACTTTGATTTGGATTTCCCTGATGATTGGTGACGTTAAGCATCTTTTCATGTGTCTGGTAGCCATTTGTATGTCTTCTTTGGGGAAATGTCTATTCTGGTTCTTTGCCCATTATTTAATCAGATTATTTTTTACTTAGTTGTATGAGTTCTTTACATATTTTGGATATTAACCCCTTAGCAGATACCTATTTTGAAAATACTTTCTCTCATTTGGTAGGCTGCCCTTTTTATATGCTGTACAAAAGCTTTTTGGTTTGACGTAGTCCCACCTGTTTATTTTTGCTTTTGTTGCCTCTGCTGTTGGTATCAGATCCAAAAAATCAAAATCAAGACCGATGTCAAGGAGCTTAGGGCCTATGTTTTCTTCTAGGAGTTTTATGGTTTCCAGTCTTACACTTAAGCCTTTAATACACTCATTCTTCTGCCTGTGGCTGCCCAGTTTTCCCACCGCCACTTACTGAAAAGACTGTCCCTTCCCCAGGTATATTCTTGGCTGCTTTGTTGTAAATTAACTGACCATATTTGCATAGGATTATTTCTGGACTCTCAATTCTGTTCCATCAATCTATGTTTCTATTTTTACACCAATACCATAATGTTTTGACTACTCAAGCTCTGTAATAGAGTTTGAAATCATGAAGTATGATGCTTTGTTCTTATTTCTCAAGATTGCTTTAGCTATTTTGGTCTTGTGTGGTTCCATACAAATTTTAAGACCGTACACATTCTATTTTTGT